TTAAAAACAGTTGATCATCACAAATTTCAGTAAATTTAGAAATAAAATTATTTTTCTAAAATTTGAAATTATATATGGTTCATTCTACAATATATAAGTACATATGTATTATTATATTATTTTATTGGTTTTTTTTAAAAAAAAAAGGTTTACGTACAGAAGGTAAAAATACCAAATATTGAACGAATATTTTTTTTTATTTAAAGGCATTTAAATATAGGTAGGCTTAATACATGGTTTATGGCTTAAATGCTTAAAAGTGAAAATATGATTATTTATCCCCATAATTTAAGTATTTTCACTGCTTAATATTAAATACACATTGTTTTATATAAAAAATGCAATATTATGTGTATTTCAAGCTGGATAAAAAAGATTTTTATAAATCACAAAAATTGTTGTAAAAATCGGTTAAATATATCACTCTGTATATCCGTATGAATTATTATTTATTTATATGTATATAGTAATATGCAAGCACACACACACACACACACACATATTATAATACTCGTGCCTACACAAGCAGGACATGTGGGCCGAGTTTTTCTGGTAGGGCACGCACGCACCTTTGCGTGGGTTAGCCGAATGCTCGACAGAGGAACCCACCTGATGATGATTTGTTTTTCTTAAACGCGCCGACAGACACGATGGAACCGAAGACGGCACCTGTGGTCTGTAGGCAGCGGTTGTATTAGATGGTAGCCCACTCATATTTTAATACATTTTAAAATGGAAACTTCAATTTTACTCCAGCTGTCACTTATGTTAATATGTTGCTTCGTATTAAATTTTAGTTTACACAAATTTTTAATAACCATACCAATAATTGTTAAGTTATTGATATTGAGAAATGTAATTCGAGTAAATACATACAGCATAGGTCGATTTCAGATTTATCTGAACATTATACTTTTAAAAGGAACTCAATCGTTATAATTTTCATAAAAATATTTTTTTTTATGAAATAATATTGCTAAACATAACATGAGTTAATAGCAGAATGCAAGTACATGTTGATATTTATTGTTTAAATATGTGTTATGGAAATGTATTCTAAACTGATACCTATATTTCATTAAGAGCGTTGTGACATGTGGAGTGTATCATAAATCATAATTACTTGTCATATTCGTTTTTTGAAAAACAAAAAGTAAATAGTAAATATTATTATGTTCCGGTAATGACAATTAGTAATTAATAGAACTAGGGTTTTAATAAACTAAAACTAAAAAATAAACAAAAATGTACTAATTGCAAAAATGACCTGAAAACTCTAAAAAATGAACTAAATGTTGTCAAATATTATAAGTAAATATGTTGTCGATATAAGTACAGAGGTACTATTTTTATAAGGGTACCAATTGAGAATACCTATACAACACATATTAAAAAAACTTAAAATAAACATAAATTTGTTTAAATACACAAAATGAAAGTAATATTAGTAAAAATGAGCTTAAAAATGAAATACAATGCAAAAAATGCTATATAAAAATAACAGAAAAAAAAATGTAAAGTCACCAAAATCCTAGCTCTACCAATTACTAATCCTTATGAATTCACTTATGATGGACTTTAATGCAGATGGAGGCCACCCAGTACCATTAGTACCTGGATAGATACAGCTGGTAACTGCAGTGTACAATGTACATCATGACATCATTGCTGTAAATACCGAGCCACAAGCGTATGGTTTCATTGAAAGTTCAGATGTTTATAAACTCAAAATGACGTCAATCATGATACATCGAAATCTATGAGCTAATATGATTACAACAGATATAAATATTACATACTGAAATAAAGCGATAATTAATTCCCTCTGGGATTTCTCCAATTATTATTATTTTACGGGAGTGATTGATTCGATAGAGAAACATTAAATTTAAAAAGCGTTACCTATAAGCATTTATGTATAATTTTTTATGATTTGAAAGTTGGGATTAAAAGTGATGAGTTTCCTTCAGATAAAATCATGTTTGTTTTCAAGTGTGTAGGCGAAATTTGTGCGAAAAAATAGGTAACACTCTGTATATAATTGTATTTTGGCCAGTCTGGCGAGTTTTAACCGCTCGAAACTTGCGTAAATGTGCTACAACAACTGATGTCAGAGCGTATTAAAAATAGGCATTTGTATGTGTGTGTTGTTTGCCTTGGAAAGCATCTGCTAGTTATTTCTTTTTTTTGAACGTTTCTTGACGAATACGGATGGCTGTTAGGTTCAAAATAATATAGTCGACATGTCGATCTTATGCGCGTGCGTAACTGACATTATAAAACTAATAGAAAATAATGTCAGCTCGGCACATAATACAAATAATAATAATCGATAATATGAAAAAAAAATTGGTAAGTATAATATACTATGACATAATCGTTTTGCGGGTCATCTCGCTAATCGCTCCTTCGAATATATAACGCGCGATTCATGTACATGACGCGACACGGTAAATTAAAGTCATTATTATAGTCATTACATGTAACATATAACTACTTTTTTGTAGCGTCGTTAATTATGTTTAGTCAAGTACGCATTCATCATAAGTACCCACTATAATTATTAAAGTCGAGAAAATAAGAAGTTCTAAATATAACAGCTGAATGTGAGAGAGTTATTATTCTATAAGAGTACTATAATTAAAGTTAATTTCTAATAGAAAATTTTACGATATTTTATAATACGCAGATAATCAAACAAAATCCAATGTGAGAAGAACTCACACATTCGTTACAATAGTTGCTTAACAATGCATATTCGGAGTTATAACTATAAAGAAGAAATAAGCAACCTGCAGCTATAGTAGTCTACTAGTATCTACTCACCTTTTTTTTAACCACTCAACTGTTTGCAGATGTCTTGGCCCCCATGCAGCATCATTTATTGATAGTAAAAAAAACTTTTTTTCCATTTAGTAGACTGAAGACTGCTTTTCTAAGTATGGCTAGTATGAACAATTTATTCGCAGTCTCCATAGTCCAGCGAGCAATAGACTTTTATGGACGATAATGAGACGGTAATATTCCTCCCTTATCTTCTACCCACCAGATGTGCCTTGTTTATGCACGAGACGATTGTATTAAAGTATAATCCAAATCCTCAATCAGTAAAATAAATAAGTCTCCGGCACACTTTATTTGATAGTAACTACTAGCTGAATGCGGAAACGTACAAAATAAGAAGTTGGAAAATTCTAGAGCTTGAATACCTTAAAAAGGGGGTTCAAAGTATAATAAAATATAATTGCTGTAGAATGAGGTCAATATATTATTTATTTAGAAAACGGAAGACACCAGCAGCAGCACTACCGTAGTATAGTGGTCGGAGAAGAGTATTTTTTTTTTAGTTGCGCTTTACATATAGAGGAGGTAGTAGGTACCACCAACACCATTTTCGTAAATACTTTCAGTAGGGCAGATATTGTTGGCAATAGGGTTTCAGTTAGTTTTGTTGATAAACATTTAAACTGTATCAGTTGCAACTACAAACGTCGTGAAATTGAGGAGTTTGGCTGGATAGCTGGATAACCCCGTCCATGTAGCGCCGAACTACTAATAAAGCGGCGATTGCTCCCTCCCCTACCAAAACATGTGGTGGGTGGGTGGTTAGTCAGGTGATAATCGGTGTTGTTTGATTATAAATAGGTACTTAATGTATTAGTTGTTAGTACTAAATGTTTAAATAGTTGTTTGTATCAAAACTCGGACATTTCGCCGTCCGGTCCATTAACAGGGACTACATGTAAACTCCTACATAAATAACGTTTTTACCCGAAAATCAAAAATACTGTAATCTCCTACTCCTACATAGACATTTTTAACTGAACAAAATAAGGTTATATCCTACACTCCAATATTTTGACTTGAATATTTGATTTTAATACCGGAAAGCCCAAAAAGCTAAAAATGATCATAACTTAAAAAGTTGAAAATAATAATTACAAAAATATATTTTCATAGATAAAATACAAACACCTGAATAGAATGTGTATATGCGCTAACTGTGTATTATGACAGCGGTATGATGCGAGATACCTACAGCGGAGATAGTATACCTTTCCATATTATATACTATTTTATATGCGATGTCGGCACTTGCAGTACAAAATGTTTAAAATAGATCAGCGATAGTATGGTATCGAATATTGTCGAATATCAATAAAACATGATAATCCCCTTCATATTGGTAATTTCCGAACAAATTGGCGTTTATTGCCGGTACTAAATTGGAAAAAAATAAATTTTAATTTTTTGTAATATTTATTATTTTATTTTATATTTTATAGGAGTCAACACTATCTTTTGTAAGAGATTACCTACATTTGTAGGAGTTTACCTCATAACAAGATATCATAAAGAAGTCCATTGAGATGTATTCGGTCGATTAAACGTGAAGCAATATTCAAAATATGTAGATGTCTATAAAGGATTTATTTTAAAATAAAATTGCTATAATATTTATTTTACCTAATAATAGTAAGTATAATATACACTAGGTATATAGTTAAATTTTTATAAAACTCATGTTTATAAGAGTATGGTTGTGATATATTTATGCTCATAAGTCATATGCTGATTGGTAAATTATTATTGAAGGTTAAAATTAGCCTACATTTAATTTGAAAAAAATACTTAATATTCACACCCCTATAGTTGCTTTTAATTTTATAATACTCAATTAATTATAATCTTAGAAATATAAGATACTAAATTAATTGTTTGAGAAAACTATAAATTTGAAAAAAAATCTAACGAAAATTAGACTTAAAATTTACCGGAGGAAAGTAGGACTTACAAATTTTAACCAACTAGTCCAACTAATAATATTATTTTATTTATCTCGTAATGTTTTTGATTTCGCTTATGATTCTGTTGTGCTCGGCAAAACATTTCAGCTCAGAGTTGTACAATTCTTACATTTTTTTTTAAATGAATCATAGCAATTATTGTCAAATGAGGTTTCTATTAAAACCGGTCGATTCTCGTGTGTGAAAGTGTACCTGTAAACTCTGGAAGATCTTTTGGCGGTGAACGAGAGTTGCCGGGACGGCTGCCACGCGCCGGCGGTCACCATCATCATGTCCCTTTCAGTTACGGCCGAGCAACTCCTCCTGGCTGGCTGCACCGCACGCCACCTCACGCCAGGCTGTTGATGCTGCTGTAGCAATACGGCCGTCGTCGACCGCCGCCGTCGCTGCTGCTGTTGTTGTTGTTGTTGATGGTGGTCGTCGCTGTCCATAGAACGTTAGCGTCGCGATCACTGGCGCGTTTTGCAGGGAATCATCGTGACATCGCCATAGCGGGCGCAGCAGTCGTAGCAGCAACAACAACTACGACAAGACCATCGTCACCACCTCCACCGAAAGGGCGCGATTCGGATCGCCGGTAAAAGCCACCACTGCCGCTGCGGTCACCGTCGAAACGGTTACGCTGAAACGTCGTCGGTATAAGATATCTAGGTATAATAAATGTGGTACACGAAGCACGCGAGGTCCCGTGATTGTGGTTTTTCCTATTTCGGTCACGATGGTGGTGCGGAGAAAGGCGTTTGTCGCGGTCACTGATAACCGATTACCATTATAATGTTAGGAATAGGTAAATTTCCGATACGATATTACTATTTTATGGTTACAATAATAAATAATTACTATAATTGTATTATGTATTTGCCTGTACGCGATAATTATGAACAGTCGTGATGTCCACTGACTGTTGTTTCGACTTCCTGAGCGACACAATACTCCAAACCTCATCAACGTTTGAGTCCGATACGTACACTATTCGGTTTTTGATTATGAATGTTATTAATGTGCGCAGTAAGTTGTGACGGGCAACGGGTGAGGTTAGGACAGAGGTGGTGGATAACATGATAAAGCAACAGGTGGTGGTGGTGGTAGTGGTGGTGGTGATGTCTGTGAGGAAAACCGCGTCCAATGACGATAATAATATTATTATATACGCGATAAAGTTTTATGTAAACAACTCGATTATTGGGAACATCACCGTTTTCCTTTGCACCGGAATCAGACCGAAACTATCGAAGCATTTGGGTAAACCCGAAACAGAAGAGACGATATCGTAGGCTCCTTATACAATTAATAATAATAATATTATGACCAAACTCCAAAGATAAATAATAATCGACGGGCAGTTACGTTGTACGCAGTACGCATTGGATCTGAATACGAAAATAGATTATACCTATATTTCTTTGAGTTAATAGTACGTTTAAATGTGTATTTTTGAATATCAAATGGCGACATTTTATTTTTATTTTGTATTCAATATCATATTATCATCATTACTGGTCAGTGATTTCTATCGTATTAAAATCAGTACATGTTTTAAAACCCACCACTTATATACCATATTGTCTGCCGTTTGGATATTATGTTATTTGATACTCACATAATTGTCATAAATTTTTTTTATTGATTAGAAATAAATAAACATCGGCAACACAGTTCATTAGTTGGTAATAGTTTTGTAGAGCCAATAAATGATCATATAGAACGTTAAGGCAGATTTTTAATATTTGTTTATCTAAAATTTTATATTTACATATTATTATACATCGTATTTCCAAAATTATACTTGACTTATTTCTATTATGAAAACCGTACATAGGTACATCTCACCAAAAATCAAAATGGTAAATTATATATTTAATCATCACGATGGTCGTAAGCTGATATGATATCCCAAAATGTTCGTTCTGAAAATTCTATATGAGATAAGTATTTCTGTGGCATCACACTATTTGTATTTATAACAATCGCTGGATCGGCACGTGTACGTATCTGATAGTATTACGTACGATTTTGATTTTCGTTCAAGTAACTTATCATATTTTAAATTTAATGGTAAATCGTTGGTTTGAAATTTAAACAAGGCAGTGGTGTATTTGAAGACAACGAGAACATTTGCCTTCATTTACATCAAGCGTGTATGCTGTTATAAATATACCTATAGAATAACTTGCTAAGTCGTATTAAGAAATTTATCAACATAAATAAATTGTAAATATATTACAAAAACATTTTAAAAAAATATCTGCTTCCCGTAGTATCTGTCGAAGAGGCGTGAGGTGCAATTGCGCTGTTATTATCGACGTAATAAAATAATATTAAACCGGCATAATAATTTACATATTTTATTTATTTTACATTTTATTGTTTACAGATTTATAAGGGGGTCACGTGTCATGACGTGTTCTGACGAAACACACGACGGCGTCGCACGTGAGAGTGGTTAATGATTAATGATATTATTCGCCGCGAAGTCTAAACAAAATGCGCATTTGGTAGTACACTAATACGTGAAGGATTAAAATGAAATCACATCAGGAACGATAACGTTTTTGAGTGTTACTCACCTCGAGTAGTGCAGCCATTAATGAAAGTATATTAGGCACTTATATAAATATCGGACAATATGGAAGAGACGTCGAGTTCGATCGTTTTGTCCCCGAGAGTAAGTTTGCGCAATATGCCGTTATTTCCACTAGTCACCACGCGCCGCCACTGAATCGACGACCGTGATCATAATATTTTAATTATGACAACAACATTAATAAACAACAACAACAGCAACAAGTCACTGAGCTCCAGTAATGAGACAATAAGCCTAATAATATTATGAAATAGAGTGTCGTCTCACTTGTTGGTCTTCAAGCGATATTATAATAATATTTTATTGTGTAAAAACGACAACGATAGAAAATATTCTGTTCGCGATCATACTCGCCCGTCGCGTTGTACCATACCGCATTACCGCTCGACCACGACAACAACAACAACTGAACAACGGCTGGTTACTTACTGCTATTACGTACGGTAACTGGTAAGCATAACGTTGTAAAAGGTGCGGCGCACCGACGCGACTACTGGTGGTGGCAACTGGCAGACGGCTGTTGTGCAACGTGCGCGGGCGGGTGGCCGCGGTAATCCTTTTAGCTCGGGCTTGCTGTATGCGCACGCAGCATCAGTGTATCACTGGGTGGTGAGGAGTGTTGATTGTGCAACGTTTTTATTATTATCATTATTCTCTTCTCCCGGCGGCGCGATTGCCGTCGTTGGGTTCTTAAAATACTCGCCACCGCGTAGGCGAGTAGGTATTTGCAACATACACCTATAAACTAACTTTATAAAATAGTTTATAGGTTTATTACGTTTTCTGCACAGGTTCTTTCGGTTTTCCTGTCGCCGACGATCACGTCCCTCGTCCATCCGACGGGCCGCACCGAGATACCGGGCGACAGCGGAAATCAATCGGAAACCGCGGACGTCTGCCGACGGTGATACCGTTGGCGTTGGAAATTTACTGTGTAATGATCATCATATCGTGTAAATGTGTGATGTGATATTCGAACAGGAAAAAGTCCGCGTTTAAAGCATGCACAAAGGCATGAGTTTGGTAATAGTAGAATTGAATGTTGAATTGACAACTATTGAAGACGAAAGCGCATTCGTGTATATACAAATGTATACATTCAAATATGCTGTGAGCCTTACGGCTTACCCCATACCCCAAACACTGTTTTTCGATTATCGATTATTACAATAATTGTCACTATTAAATGCACAGTAAAAAACACACCTATATTTTAGTATAATAAAAAAGTACCCATCATATTTATTTCATAGCAAACATGAGATTATTCTGGGACGACACATAAGTCCAGCAGAAATTCAGCTATTGTAGACAACTCAGATAACGTCACTACGTCGGAGAGTCAGACGACTCCTACGTTATAGTCTATGACTTAGTTTGATCAAATTTCCAACATTATATCATAAAATATTAAAATAATATTTTAAAATTGTATATTATCGTCATTATATCGAAGGTAAATATTATATCGATTTACACAATCCTACAATTACTAATAAATTAATATATACTTATATTTCTAAAGAAATAATTTTTTTAACTAAATTTCACTATGTATTAATTATTGATAAATTAAAAAAAAGCTGGATTAGATAATGTTATAAGTGGCCCTGGGCTATGCTATTTTTGGGGCCCTTATTTTCACAAAAAAAATGTTTATACTGATTTGTTTATTGATATTTAGTAGTTGAACCAGGACATTTTGTACTCGGAGGGTAAGTTTACAATGTTTACACTAGATAATTAATTATTAAATGGTTCAATTAATATTACAATTTAATAAAAGTGTTAAATAATATGTGGTTATAATTATTAATATTCACAGTATAAGTTGTATACTGTGTATATTGTGTGCCTACAGGTATTGTGTATTTTTTAACAACATGATTGCCTTATTTTTTTGTAGTATTAAAAATTACAATCCAACATTTTTTCTGGGTATTCCATTTTTGAGTGTGCGCAGGGCTATACTTCTCTTAGTCCCCTTTTCCTTAATCTGGCTAAGTCCATATACATGCTCTTAGCCAGTTGCTTAGACGACGTATCGATTAATGTATGTTTCACAACTTTACAAGTAGTGGAAATTATACAACTTACAATACCTAATTGTAAGAGCTGCTGTTTTAGGACTGGGGTTGCTTAAGAAGAAGAACCATCAGGCATCCCCTAGTTACACCTATGGCATACAAGTATAATAAGACGTATTTTACGTCACACATCACATATATTTTTCCCATTACGATCACTTAAAACATATGTCTGATCACACGGTAACATGCTATAGCCGTGAGTCGTGCCTGCCGAGTCGTTCAATTGTAAATAATTATACTTTGCGGTGCAACGAACCCACGAGGAGATAACGATTTTAACGACGGCGCTACAGACGTCTTTTGTGTCCGTTCTAGCTTTGTCCTCTTGCATACTCTTATCTAATGTGTGGCATGTCTATTCTCACTTTCTTATTACTCTTCTCTCCCAATTACATCGTAATTTATCGGCCACTGGATTTGTTTTTTCTCTTAATATTAATTATAAATTAAAATTAATTATACTTATAATTACGATACCTTACAGGCGCCAGGGACGGATTGGGCCATAGGGAAATCGGCAAATCCCCGATGGGCCGCGTACTAAGTAAATAGCAGAAAAGTAAACTTAAATATGACCTAATAAATATTACCATTGATTTTAAATTATTCATTCTATAATCAATGATATTAGTGATATTACGTAATAACAGTCTATAATATTATAACGTAAAGCGTTGTAAATTTTATTGTAATAATATAATGTCTACAACCGAAATGAACAATAATATTAATTATCAATAAGAAATATTAGAAATAACAATAACTAAACAAAAAATCAACCTCCGTGGACAGTAAAATAATTGGTTATTCGAGTTGCCGTCGATCAAATGGGCTGGCGGGTTGCGGGTAATGACGGCGGCTTTGAATGATGCAAGTCGTTAAATAAGAATATTTTTATTTTTAATTTATAAATTATATTATTTATATAAAATATCAATCGTCATTCAAAACCTCAGCACTTATCAGCACTCGGCAATCAGCAGTTCACCACAATTTGGTTAATTTTACAATTTAATTACTAAGTACTTAACTAGAAATATTTGATAAAATATTTTATATTACAATAGTACCTAATTATAGTTGTGAGTTATAAAATAAAATGGAAATGGATAGATCAGACTGTAATAAAAAAGGAGGAGTTGAAAAAATTCGATAAAAAAAAAACTACTTTTAGAAGCAAAGGCTTCTAAGAGCCTTACATCATTTTTTTATTTCATTTTTAGCATACAAATATGTACTTACTCTACCATCAACCCAAGTATCATATGAAAGATCTTTTTCTTTCTTAAAAAACATTAAGTCAAGACTTCGTAGTCAACTTTCGGATCCAAAACTAGAAGCATTCATGTTAATGGCCATCAAAAACAGAAATTAACACTATTAGATTTAGATAAAATTATAGAAGAATTACAAAAAGAGAGTTCTCTTTTAAAAAAAAGGAAAAGTGATTTTAATTTATAAATTACATCTGATAACAACTAGGTATCTTATATCTGCCTATACAAACCTCACTAAATCACAACCCCCCCCCCCCCAAATCTCACAACAAATAGTGGGCCGGTAAAATAGTATTTTCCCGGGCTGGTCCGAAGTTCCAATCCGTCATCTTAAAGACAATACAAGAAAATAGGACATTTCAGTTAGATATTCTAAATAAATGGAGATGATCGATCATAGGACACCCACTGGTACATGGTGAAGAGTAATACAGTTCAACAACAGAAGGAATGATAGAAGGAACCTGGAACACGATCAAGAGCGAAACACATCAGCCAAATAATGAAATTACTTCTACGGGGAGCTTAAAGATATGGCAATTGATAGGGAAACATGGGGAAAGCATTTGTTGTAAACAAGTTTGTTATAATCCACCCAATCTGGATTGAATATCATAAACTATAATAGAGTAGAAATCAGATGTAATAAAGTCGGTTTTAACAAAAATTTGCTTACTGAAATTTAAATATGAAGTCCTGGTAGAAACTAGAAATACTTTATTTTTCATGTAAGTTCCTAATAGACCAGTTGGTAATAATTAAGTTTATCTCTTATTGTAAATTTGGTTAGAATAAAATATTAATATATATTACTTTATACGAATGAGGTTCATTATTAATTTGTCATCGGTCATATAAGTTATAAGAAAAACTATACTTTAGTTCTAAAATACTTTAACATAGAAACATCAAACAGTTTTTAAATGATACTAAATCATTTGAAACATGGGCCAATTTGAATGGTTCTGAATTCTAATAACTAATAATTAGGGAACGGATTTTATTGTAATAAAAAAATCAAAATATTTACATAAATATGTACTTATTTTTATTGAAATATGTAAAAAAAAATCAAAATATGTGGTAACCGCTTAACAGAAAAAAGAGTACCAAAAGTAAGTATAAAAATCTTATCTCTTATCTAATTAATAATTATTAAAACAATGCGAAACTACATATTCTCTAAGATTTAAAAAACGTAAAATGGCGACGATTTGGTCGTAAAATGTTTTTGTATTGACTGAATGGACGTTCCACATCAACTGACGTAATGATAGCATACCGATTTTTCACAACATTTACAGTATAAAACTTTCCCATCACTTTGAAATGTTTCATTCGGAAATTCTTTTAAATATGCGGCTACCTTATTATTGATTGAACTTGGAACTTTAGGCATTCTAAACAATTTTATAAAAAAAAACAACAACATTTCGATGTAGATATGAAGAAAAAACGATGCAAATAATTATGCCCGCCAGAACAGTAACTATAGACATACACTGAAGACTGAAGACCGTAACATTGAATAAACACGTTACCTACATGCTTGTCCACAGTGTATAATACGATAGCACTGCCTAAAGTACGTAAGTCCATTTAGAGAACGTAGATAATGTTTATCGTCATTGAAAATTACAAATATTATTATTTTAGGCTCGACAACGTATAATATATAGACCATAGGGTATCTGAATGCCATTAAGATAAGGCAAATAATCTTTGACGTCGTTGTAAATTGACGAAAAAAACCAAAAATACCCAAATATTTACGAAGTATTCAGTTATTTACAAAATATGTGAATGTATGTATTTTTACCCAAATATGTAAAAATATGTAAAATAAAATTGGGCTTATTTTAATAAGAATGATCTGAATCGTGCACATTTTTTATCAGATTAAAAATATCTCATTCCAATAAAAATATGTATTTACAATAAAATCCGTTCCCTACTAATAGTAGTAATAATATTTCAATTCTCAAGTATAATAAATTGTATAGGTACTTTTGACGAATAAATGTATAGTTAAATACTTCAACTAGTCAGTATATAC